ACCAGGAAAAAAGTGCACGTCCCTATGGTGAGAATTGTAGAGCTGTTGTTGGCGCGCCTGTGAAGCCTGTAGACGGTTACGGGCGACTCGGCGCGCGTAGTCGGCGCGGGCAATGGCTTCAACAGCATATTCAGTGGCCGCAGGTAGTAACGTGTCTAAAGATAGAGTTCGGTCCCGGCCATATAGTAGATAGAAGGGTGAATATCCGGCAGTGTTGTGACGAGATGAGTTGTAGGTGAACGTCACATACGGTAAATGAATGTCCCAATCATGGTGGTCTGGCGCAACGTATTTGGCAAGCATATCGGTTAGGGTCCTGTTAAGGCTCTCCGTGAGGCCATTTGACTGGGGATGGTACGAAGTAGTAAATTTGTGCTTGGTATGGCAAGACCTCAGGATTTCATGAACGACAGCTGATTAGAACGTGCGGCCACGGTCGGTGAGAAGTTGACGGGGAGCACCGTGCACTAATATTATGTCGTACAGCAGAAAGTCCGCAACGTCGGTAGCGCAGCTGGTCGGGAGTGGTCGTGTGATTGCGTAACGCGTCGCGTAGTCCGTGGCAACAGCAATCCATTCATTTCCGGCTGTGGAAAGTGGAAAAGGGCCCAACAGGTCGAGACCAACTCGAAAGAAAGGCTCGTTTGGAACTTCGATCGGCTGAAGGTAGCCGGCTGGGAGGGCAGACGGCGTTTTGCGACGCTGACAGGGCTCACAAGCGGCGACATAGCGTCGAAGAGAGCGGGCAAGTCCAGGCCAAAAAAAACCGACGTCGTACCCGATCGTATGTGCGAGAAACGTCCAATTGGCCCGTCATGGGAGCGTCATGAAGTTGATGCAGGACAGTGGAACGCAGGTGCGCTGGGATGACAGGAAGTAAATCTGATCCGAAGGAAACAAGGTTGCGGCGATATAGGATCCCGTCTTTCACCAAAAACATTCGTAGGGACGGGTCGCGAGGCGTTGACTCTAGTTTGTCAATGATGGCTCGTAAAGAAGCATCCCGACGTTGCTCTTCGCCAATGTTTAACAGCTGCGACACGGAAAAAACGTCCGTGATAGCGTCAGTATCGGTTGCTTCGTCAACAGGCTAGCGGGATAAACAATCCGCATCCTGATGTATTCGCCCTGTTTTGTACATTACAGAAAACGTGTACTCTTGAAGGCGTAGAGCCCAAAGAGTGAGACGTCCCGTGGGGTCCTTCAGGGAGGCTAGCCAGCAGAGCACGTGATGATCCATGACAACACGGAATGAGCACCCGTACAGGTATGGGTGAAACTTGGCGACTGCCCATACAAGGGCGAGGCACTCGTGCTCCGTGATGGAATAGTTGCGCTCGGCTGGAGATAGCAGTCGAATAGCGTAGGCTATAACACGGTCGTGTCCGCGTTGTTGCTGCAATAGCACAGCTCCTATGCCATGTCCACTGGCGTCCGTGTGAACCTCGGTTGGGGCTAATGGATCGAAGTGAGCCAAGATTGGTGGCGTTGTAAGCAATGTCGTAAGTTGCGAAAACGATGACGCTTGGTCATGGCCCCAGGTAAACGAAACGTCTTTCTTCAAGAGGTCTGTGAGTGGGCGTGCAATGGTCGCAAAGTCCTTAACAAAGCGTCTGAAATATGAGCACAACCCCACAAAACTGCGGACATCCTTTGTGGTCTTCGGAACGGGAAAGTTCGTGACCACGCGAATTTTCTCTGGGTCTGGACGCACGCCTTGAGCATCGACAAGGTGACCGAGCACGGAAATTGGACGATGAGCGAAGCGGCACTTGGAGGCGTTAAGCTGGAGTCCGGCTCGACGAAAAACGTCCAGAATAGCTGACAAACGATCAAGATGCGAGTCGAATGTGGGCGAAAAAACAATAACATCGTCAAGGTAACACAAGCAGGTGGACCATTTCAGCCCTTGGAGCAATGAGTCCATCATTCTTTCAAATGTGGCTGGTACGCTGCACAGTCCAAAGGGCATCACCTTAAACTGATAAAGACCATCAGGAGTGATGAATGTGGTCTTCTCGTGGTCCATCTCGTCGACGGCTGTCTGCCAGTACCCTGACCGAAGGTCAATAGTTGAAAAATAAGTGGCACCGTAAAGGCAGTCGAGGGCGTCGTCGATGCGAGGTAAAGGATAAACGTCTTTTTTGGTAATTTTGTTAAGGTGACGGTAATCGACACAAAAGCGCCATGTTCCATCTTTCTTTTAACAACGAAGACTGGACGAGCCCAGGGGCTGCATGAAGGCTCGATAATGTTTTTCGCAAGCATTTTGCCGACTCCATGTTGTAATATTGCACGCTCCGACGCCGACACACGGTAGGGGCGTCGGTGAATGGGGGTTGCATGGGCAGTATTTATGCGATGGGTGAAAATGGTCGTTTGGCCGAAAGGGTTGCTGGCAAAGTCGAAAATGCTACGATAGCCCTCAAGAACGTGGCCAAGCGCTGCAGCTTGCTCAGACGTGAGGTCCGATCACACCATTCGCTCGATGTCGGCGCCCCAAGAACTTGATAGAGTGGAACCACTCACTGAGCTGCAGCAAACGTCAACTCTGAAGGGATCGACATGGTCATCTTGGAGAGCAGTAATTTTGGCCAGGGAGATACCCTGTGGCAGAACTTGTGTGGTGAGTGAAAAGTTGACCAATGGAAGGAAGGTGCGGTTTCTCTTAATCGTCAGAATCATATGCGGCACAGCAACCCCATGCGTAAGCATCACTGCAGGAATCGGGGCCACCATGTAATCACCATCAGGTACTGGCGGCGTGGAGGATAAGTCGACATGTGTGACAGAGTTAGGAGGGAGGCGCGTGAAATCAGTGCAGCAGAAGCTGGTTTGCGGTGGGCTGGTCGGGTCGGAAAAGAGGGGTAAATCGAGATGAAGAGAGCCAGCTGAACACTCTATGAGGGCAGAGTGCGTGGCAAGAAAATCCATACCGAGAATGAGTTCATGAGGGCAATGTTCGATAACGGCGAAAAGAACGACAGTGCTTCTCTCCCCAATAGACACTCGCGCAGAGCACATGCCAAGAATAGCGGCAGTTCCTCCATCGGCGACTCGTACAGCTCGGTTAAGGGCGGGTGTGACAACTTTTTGAAGTCGGCGGCGAAGGTTAGCACTCATAATGGACACATGCGCGCCAGTATCTATCAATGCACTGACACGAACATTGTCGACAGTAACGTCCAAAAGATTCCGGTTCGTTGTTGACGTTAATCGAGGATTTCTTACGAAGATCGTCAACGCAGCTCCACCTCCAGAAGCTGCACGGCCTAGTTTTCCGGTGGGAGATGCTGCGAATAGGTTGGGGAGGCAGCACGGCGTTGTGGGGGCGACCGGGACTGACGACGAGCAGGGGACGGTGACCGGTCGTAGCGAGGTCTGCTCAGTGGTGCTGTAGGAGCGGAAAATGTGGTCGGCGTTGATGAAGAAAGTGGTGGGGACGACTGGCGAGCAGAAGTGCTGTGATACTGAGGTGCATAATGGGATGGTGGAGCCCAGCGGCTGCGGCAGTGACGACCGATATGACCAACGCGTCGACAATTAAAAACATATGGGCCTGTCATCAAGAGTACGCCAATCGGACGGATTGCGTTGTATGCGAGGTGCAGAAGCGGTACGATAAGAAGGCTGAGCAGAGTATACGGTAGGAACAGGATGTAGGCCGACATTCGATAGCTCTTGACGAACGACCGCTTGTATTAAAGAGATCGTGGTCGGGGAAGGTGCAGGCGTCGGTAATGGCGTGGCTACCGGTTGTGCTGCCTCGACCTCTCGACGAATTATGCGTGTAAGGTTGTCACATCGAGAGGCCTGGTGGAAGGCGTCGTCACGCGAAGAAGTGGACGCTGTGTTCGGAAGGCGCACGATGCTTTGGGCTACCCGGCGGGCTTTAGCTTGTTCGAGACGTCGGCATTCTTTAAGGATTGTGTAGATGCTCGAGACGTTGTTAAAAACCAGCAGGTTGAAAGCATCGTCAGCAATGCCTTTCAAGACGTGGTTAACCTTTTCGTCTTCCGACATGGACTGGTCAGCCTTGGAACAAAGGCCCAAGACGTCAAGAATGTAAGAGACGTACGATTCTGTAGAAGACTGGGCCCGTGTGGCAAGAGTCCTCTTCGCAGCGAGCTGACGACCAGATGAATCGCCAAACAGGTCACGTATCTTTTCTTTGAAGAGATCCTAGCTCGTTATGTCGGCTTCATGGCTTTCAAACCATGTTCGGGGAGAGCCGTTCAGGCATAAAAGCACGTTGGCGAGCATGAGCGTGGGATCTCATCGGTGAGTAGCACTGACGCGCTCGTACCGCTTTTGCCAAGTGTCGAGATCGATCGTACCATCACTGGAGAAAGTGCCGGGATCCCGGAGGTGTGGTAATTTGACGTAGGTGGTGGCTTGGACTATGAGGGCGGCGTAGAGGAAGTACCAACAGTCGAAGCAGTCGAAAGGTCGCCGATGGTGCGACCGCTGCGCGTCTCCATCGAGGTACGGGGGTCGTCCACCTCCACCAATATTGTTACGAGTAACTTGTTTGATGATCTATTTACAGCGCACAAAACCCGACGAGAAAGATGGCGTCAGACCAGCATCCAACGGAAAACCCACTTCGTCCTCCTCTTTCATGCAGCCGTGTTTAGCGGCTGTTTTGTATCAATATATATGTATGTGTGTGTTTGTGTGTGTGTGTGTGTGTGTGTGTGTGTGTGTGTGTGTGTGTGTGTGTGTGTGTGTGTGTGTGTGTGTGTGTGTGTGTCTTGAGATGGCGTCAAAAGCATGCCAGAGAGTTGTTCAGCTAATAGACTGTACGTTTCCAATAAAATTTGCGGCATTTAATTCCGATCGATAACGTATTGAAACCAATATGCAATATGCTACACGATGAAAGGATCTTGGGAAGATATTATCAGTTATTTGATCAATTCCGACGCCTCTTCAAAAGTGCTCTGAGCAATCACTAGGAAAAATCTTTGACTGCTAGTCCTTCTCACCCCGCCACTCACCATTTCGAGCCGGCAACCGCCGCCATAGTTCGATAATGCCCAGGCTTGCTTTCCCGATTGCGCGCTGATGCAAAAAGGTTCCACGACGTACGTCAGCTGTCACTGACACAACGAGACCAACCACACGAAGGAAAGGTGGCCACCACAGTGCGCAAAGCAGCGCTCACGTACTAAGTAGTGGCGCTTGCGCGAACTCACTCGCCGTTTAAGTGAGGAGGCGCGCTGCCTGATATCGTGGCGTGAGGCCCCCTCGTTAAGTGAAAGACAAATTGTACGCGCACGCCCTCGCACGGGTCATTGCCACAGATTGAAGTTGACTCGAAATATGAAACTGTCCATCAAACGGTCACTGCGGGGCCTCTATGTCGACTCTGCGAATGTGAAAGGGCCCGGTGTGTGAGAGAGAGAGATGTAGGCAAAAATGTTGGCAGATGGGAATGAAGTTCGTCTCACGAAGCGAATGTCAACTTTTTATCGTGGAAGTTGCGCTACAGCAAGCTTTAAGTAAACCAGCTGTTGGTCACGTTCAGTTGTTGCGCACTTCCTGAAGACCCAATTTCAAGCATTCCTTTGTCATATTTAGCGCCTCGCCGCGGTGGTCTAGTGGCCAAGGTACTCCGCTGCTGTCCCGCAGGTTGCGTGTTCAAATCCCGGCTGCGGCGGCTGCATTTCCGATGGAGGCGGAAATGTTGTAGGGCCGTGTGCTCAGATTTGGGTGCACGTTAAAGAACCCCAGGTGGTCGAAATTTCCGGAGCCCTCCACTACGGCGTCTCTCATAATCATATGGTGGTTTTGGGACGTTAAACCCGACATATCAATCAATCAATTGTCATATTCAGCAAGGAAGTATCACATACTTGCCAAAACTCGCACTTGACACCTAGTCATGATGCGTAGCATGTTGCATCGTCATCCAGTGCTCGTCAACCCAACAATCCAAGCAATAAGGAAGCATCTGATGTTTCAAACCTCGCGTGCAGCTGGGTGTGACAACCTTCGGTAATTAACTCCTTCGCAGGAGCCTCTGAAGGGTTTTATAGTAATGATGACATACTACCTAAAGTACCCGACAGGCAGAAAATATCTCACTATACACCAGGTACCTAATACTAGTAGTAGTAGTAGTAGTAGTAGTAGTATTAGTAGTAGTAATAGAAGAAGTAGTAGTAGTAGTAGTTGCAGTACAGAAAGAAAGAACTCTTCGTTGCAAGGCAAAGAACTTAGCGGATGTGTGCATATGAATGACTTGCTACTCTATATGGGGAAGGAGATTGGAAATAGAACGACATAAAGTGAGAGAGAGAGAAAATTTTAGAACCTAAAACGAAAACAGAAAAATTAAGTATGCAATTTTTGCCTTTCGGGGACGTGTGCTGACAGAATGACTTTTAATACGAGCGTTAAAAATGCCACTACAGTTTGTCGAGCGGACCAATATTTCTCAAATACGCGAATATAAGTTTCATCGCATGCCTCTGTTGCGCGAAGCAGGTTAAGGTGCGCAAGACACAGTTGATTGATAAAGTTCATCGGGTTAGCAAACACGTGTAATGTTCATGGAGCACCCGCTCACTGGCATAGGCTCGACGCTCAAACAAAATGTGATGTACGTTTCGACAAAGCCATAGTTTTGGCAGTATGAACTTTCTGCTTGACCGAAGTGGTATTGTAAGCTGTTTACATTAGCACTGTTTAGTCGGAGACTATGGCAGAGAGCTTCCAAATGTCGAGGAATTCTGAATGGGAGTAATGTTAGTTTTGGGTCGATAGAGAGGAGGAAAGCATAATGATGCGTCGAAATGTTGCAGAGCCTCTTCTTTTCTTCGGAAGCAAGACTTTTAGCCAGCTGAGACGCATGAGCACTAGAGAAATAGGTTCGCCTATAATATTCATTTTGAATTCCTTTGCGGGCCGCTTCGCTTTCTTTTTCATTCGCCAGAATACCACAATGATACGGTATTCATTGAAGTATGATAAAGTGGCCTGTTGTAATAGCCAAATGGTGTAAGTACGCTATATCGAATGAAATCGGGTTATCATTTGTTTTTGTTTTTTGGGGGGAGTTGAACAGTATTTGTAGTGCTCCCTTGGAGTCAGTAAAGATCACCCATAGGTTCGGCGTTTTGCACAGGTTATAGAGGACAGCTTCTTCGATGTCATGAAGTTCTGATGTCGTTGAGGATGTCCTGTGTTGTAGCCGATAAGATAGACTTTGTGTTGGTGGACATAGAGGATATATGAGGAAGCCTCCTGAGAAGTTGAAGCGTCAGTGTAAATATGACAATGCTGAGTATAGTGCTGGGCTAAGTAGAAGAGAGTAGTCTGCCACAGTGCGGTCTGTGCGATACGCATTTTTGCTCCAGTGATGGCTTGAAGGAATGGTTTATTATCGAGAGGCAAAACCGCCCAAGGACAAAATTTCGGAGGCATTAACTGCTCCGCCTCCCTAATAGCAGTAAGTTGCAGCATTTGCACAGATTCGCCGAATGCAGAATTACTGCGGGTAATATGTACGCGGTACCGATCATGCTTCTTTCCTTAATGGAGATGTCGAGAATGAGTGCGCATGATTTCTTCAGTGATGACATCATCTAACGGGAGACATATCCTGCGTCCGCTACAGTTTCCGAGGCTGATGAGCTCTTCGAGAGGCCTTGACCGATTCCTAGGCATTGGTTTCGTAAGGCTTCTAAAATTCTCTCGTTTGTCGCGGGATCGGATTGCGGCTGCGGCGGCTGCATTTCCGATTGAGGGAGAAATTTTATAGGCCCGTGTGCTCAGATTTAAGCGCACGTTAAACAACCCCAGGTGGTCAAAATTTCCGGAGCCTTCCACTACGGCGTATCTCATGATCATATGGTGGTTTTAGAACGTTAAACCCCACATGTTAATCAATCAAATAAAATTTTCTTGTTTGATGCTGATAATCGGTGAAGCACCGGTAGGCAATAACACAACGCTCTTTGACTATACGGTTTCTCAAGCAGAAACAATGAGCGGCACTTACATACCCATGTTGTTCCAGTATTAAAATTGAAGAGTTGGGCGGCTGCAGCTATTCTGCCTGAAAGTTTCATCACCTGAGGAGACCAGCAAAGATCCCTGTCGATGACTATTTGAAGAAAACGATCGCTAAGACCAGCGGTGAACCACCGAGGAGGAGTGGATACATGGTCATTTTCTTTCTTATCAAAGCGATGAAGGTGCTTTTTTCGGGAGAGAAGTGCACACCACGAAGAGCCAAGTGCATTGAGATGTTCCGTAATACTTTCTGAAGCTGTTGTTTTGTATCAAGACGCGTACTTGAAGTGCTGCAGATATGTATAGCGTCGATGTAAATCGTCATGTGCACACCTCGCGGCAATATTTTGTTATGTAGCAGGATGAGGGTGTCAAGGAGCCGACTGAGCAGGGCACCCTGGTGTACACCTTTCTCTACTGCCTAGAACTGTGTAAGACCGTTGAGTGCACGTATATATCTTCCGTTTTTTTAAATAGCTCTGGATCCGCTTGTACAGCCTTTCTCCGAGGCCAAGACTGACCATAGCTGCACAAACGGCATGGTTACAGAGATGCAGTCAAAGGCTGCTTTGATGTGATGGAAGGTAGCTATTGAGATGCGTCCAGCAAAGAGGTCGTCTTCGAGTGAAGAGACGAGGGCGATTACATTATAGATAGCTTATTTCACTTGGCGGAACCAGTTTATTTCTTGGAGAAATTCGTCCTGGCCATGCCAGTCATTTGGGAACCATCTGTTTTATAAGCTTGCCACGGCAACTCAACAAGGCGACGGGTCGGAAAGAGGCGTCGCTTGTTTTCTCCTTGCTAGGTTTCAATATGACTACTATTTTACTTAATTTCTATTGTCCGAGGAACTCACCACACAGCATATAATGTTCTAGGAGTTGTAAGCGGCAGGTGTGGGGTAAGTTTGCGATAGCTTCATATATATTTCTTCGTCGTGACCTGGTGATGTGTGCCTGTTTGATTCACTGGTTGCAGTGTTCAGTTCGTCAATTGGAAAAGGCAAGTCCAAAGCTAGCACTGCCTCTCTTGATCTGTCAGGGGCTGAGTGCTTGCGGGAGAGATACAAGGTAGTGAAGTTGATGATTACAGTGAGCAGTGTTCTTCTAACAGCTCTTGGGGGATTTTTGTTCGTGAAAAGAAGTTCAGCCGAAGGAAAATTCGACGCGCACGCCTCCCACTCACATTCGTTTCACAACTCGCTCCCACTCCCGTCCCCTACCGCGCTCATAAAAGCCAACAGCGAGAACAGGAGCATAGTGGTTTGTGTCCCATATCTAAAACACTTCGCTCATCGGTTGTATTCGTACACGGGACAGCGCCTAGTTTTTCTGTCTGACAACAAGCAACAGGCAACAACTTGAGTTTTCCGGTTCAGCTCTTCAAGATGAAGCCACAGTGTCCTCTAGGTTGGCTTATACTCACTCTTTAGCGAGGTTTTCTGTGGTGAGCCTTTGCTGAAGCTGAAATACATTCTTTTGTAGAGGTGACCCTTCAATAGACGCCACACATTTCATTCTTGCCTAGACAGAAAGGCATGACTGACGTTGTTACCTGTACGAATTGAATTGTTGCGCTTCTAAACAGGTCGAAAATGCTCGAATTCTTCCCACGGAGAAATAAATCAGTTAGGAGATAGCTAAACACAAACAAAAAATTAAAGGAAGAAGAAAAGTGCCACATCACACACGCAGGTGGCCAAGCTTCACTCGTTGCCGTGTTTCCGGCAGGGCTTGTGCTCCCAGTTTTTTCAACGCAACGTGAGTGACTAATTTGGAATGGGAAAATGTGTGGTTACGCTCTGCTTAGTGCAGTCCATGACTTTGGTTGAACTGATGGACGTATGTCTGACTGTGGAACGCCGAATGACGTATACCAAAGCCACAGTGTTGTAAGGCCAACAGCTGTTCGTAAGCAACATGCCGAGGCTTTTACGTAAGAGCGCCGACACCTGTCGGAAAAACTGACGGCAGCACTTTCTCGTCATGCTTCACGAACATATGGAAGACAGTGTCACTTTCGCCTCACCGTCATCGCAGCTGTCTCTTCGCATCGAACGCGATCAGTTGCTGCTCTTTTTGAATGGCATAGGGATAAATTAAGTGATGTGTGGGTTTCGTGTGTGTGTGTGTGTGTGTGTGTGTGTGCACGCGCGCGCGCGCGCGCGTGTGTGTGTGTGTGTGTGTGTGTGTGTTT